CTTCCACATTGGCAGTTTCTGAGACAACCTCAATCAGACATCTTTCTACCCAGGTGTTGGAAAACTCAATTTCATACTAGAAAGTTATGCAGTCCTTTGCTCAAAATCAGGGTTTAACTTCTATGGTTTCTCTGTATTTAACTATATCTCTCCGTAGGCTAACCACAGCCATTTATCAATGGAAATGGAATACTTATCGTCAGTGGTGTTTTAAAAGATTTTCAACTCTCTTCATTCTAAAGTATCTACCATATCCTGTTTTATGACTTTGGTATTTGAGAGGGATCTTGCTTCATATACAGTTGCTTTATATTCGGCATTCTTATCCACTGTTTTTAGGTATTCCAAATATCAGGAGATTTTTTGAATCATCAGTACTATCAGGTCTATTCAAAACACTTCATATTCTTCTACCCAAATGACCTTTCCAATTACCAAATTGGGATTTTACAGTTGTTTTACATGCCTTGTGTTTTCCTCCTTAGTTTTCTGTTCTTTTTTTCACTTTTCTCTTAAATTGTATTATTTGTTGTTATTGGTTTGTGGATGTCATTGGTTGAAGTTGTTTGCAATTCATGTGCTTCAGACTCTTCATCATTCCACATTTGTCTTGCTTTACTCCAATAGGTTCTTTCTGTCCAAGACACTGACAACTAGGGAAGGGGAAAAATTCTTATCACCAATCCATTTGCCAATCATTCCTCACCTTTATGACTGCTCTAATCCTGACTTTTTGTTATGCCCTGTTAGGTCCTTCAAGTGTTATGTAGATCGTACTAACTCATTTTGAGGTAATAGGAATTGTTTGTTCCTTCATTGGAATTTTTTTTTTCCCCGTTACTTATCTCCCATTACCCTAACGAGGTGGCTTCATAAGTTGATTCAAATGGACTGTAATGGATTATTGTTATAGGAGAGGAATCTTTGTGTGTTACATCTCACCAGTTTTGTCATATCACTGTCAATTGCTGCCCAGTTGAATTGCCCTCTGGAAAACATTGTGCAGTCTGGTATGTGGATTATTCCTAATACTTTCCTTACACGATCTGACAGTTTCCTCTTCTGAGGATTTTTGACTAACTTCTGTAGCTATTTCAACTACATTTATTAGTTTTTCACCAGAGGTGAATATTTTCCTCCATCATGTACTCTTTTTTTCCAGGGTTCCTTTATTTTTTCACTGGATCCCACTCTGTGGTAAGTGTACCCAGGTAGGTATGTTCAACTGTGCACTAGCAACCACTTTCACTATAATTACTACAAGTTGCAACAGGCTCTATCAAAATGGGGTGTTCCATAAGACCATCTAGGTGCCTACCAGATGGTATTATCTTATTATTATGGACTGTCATTCATGGACTATCATGAGTAAAGCTAAAGTGGATCCTTCCCATCTTTGCCAATCACCAGGTTGAATAAGTTAGGATCAGTTTGCTTTTAAAAGTGTAGGAAACTTAGTTCACCTATTGCACAGTTTCCAGAGCACTGTTCCTCAGGACTCTCCAATGTGTATTACCCCCCTAGACTCTACTGGTGGAGCTTGGGAGTCTTTAACACCCCAGTTTCCAGTTGCTGGGGTAGTGGACAGAGTTTTTTTTTTCTCAAGAGTGTTCAAGTGTGTTCCTCCTCTCTTTAAGAAGAGGGCAAAGTTGGGGGCCCTCCTACTCAGGTCCCTGGATGTTTGTCCCAGATGTCAGTAGGAGTGGCACCAGCCTCTGAGGGGCCTACTCATAATTCTGGTTCAGATTTGACACAAAGCTATCTGGTTTGGGGGTGCATGGCCCTTCTCTTTGATCAGTGGTGGTTTTGTATATTGTTCATGGAACGAGGTCCACTATCTCTTCATAACTCTGAACGCGATGTGATCCCATCATAAGCCCTTGGTTGAGCACAAGTTCCATGTCCATTCCATAATTCCAGGGTCAAGCAGAATACTCCTAGCCAATTTGGTTGGGGAGTGAGGATGAATGTTCATAATTCCAGTCCAGATGAGTTCTGTTTCTTTGCTTGAGTATGGCATATACAATCCTGTCATTCCAAGCCTGGGGTGTTGCCTTTTGGACTTCTTCAAGTGGAGGAGAAAGTTTGTCCACTTCAGTGTTGCTTACTTTCTCGCCGTGATTCCAGTATTGCAAAGCTCATCACTCTATGGCTACGGGTTGGGATCCAATCAAAAGTATATATGATATTGCAGTTCAATACCCCTAGTCACTCACATGGGATATAGGTACCATGATCCCTTAATTCCAACCCTGAGTTGTGGAACCTCGACTATTTGGTTGGGGCTGGCCTATACTGACAGTTACTTGTATTCTATTTCACCTTTGATATAGGAACTGAGTTCCTGGCAAAGAACATTCTCCTTCTGGATGTAGTGTGATTTCCCCAACTCTTGTACTATCTTTATCTTGGTACACTTCTGTTCTAGACAGATGATTTCTGTACGGTTTATGCCTGCACTGGCCCCTCCACTTTCTCAGTGTGGGATTCTAGATATAGTGTCAGTGAAGGTAAGTATGTTTTGGAAGTTAACATTTTCCTAAACTGAAAATGTATTTCCAATAATATTTACATCCGCTGACACTCTCCTGCCCTACCTCCTCACTAAAAGCCGGTTTATGTCTCGAAAAAGTGAATACATTATCTGAATGAGGTGCTTATATACAGCACCTAGATAGAGGGTGCATAGAAGTTGATGGAGAGATTTGCAAGTTAGAATTTACCAAGGGCAATCAAATGGGGTATAAAAGACTGAAGCAAGCATTTTCAGTGCTTAGATGGGCAAAGAGTGGAAACCCTGGAGACTGAGAAATAGCTATAATGTCAGTGGATGTAAGTATTATTGGAAATATATTTTCAGTTTAGGGAGATGTTAACTTTTATTTACCTTGAGCAAATTTAGAATAAAAAACATTCTTGCAATTAGTTTTAACATGTCAGCCATATGTTTCTCACAAGTCCTTTTTGATATACTTTTCTTCTTTAACCAAATCCATAGCCTTCCTGTATTTCTGTAAATATTTCAACCCATTTGTTAAAGTTAAAGTTCTTAAATTTAATGAACTTTATCTGATTTTTTCTTTCATGTATTTAGTAATCCAAATAGATTTGATTTTGAATGTTATCCTTTTTTCTTTTTAGGAATATGCCTAAAAATACTTATTCTCTAGTTCAGATATCTTGTAGTGGTGATATTTCGCTTTTAGAAACAAAAATTTTAAAGTTAATAAGTAAAATTTAATATTTAATAATGTTTGACAAAGATATTAGGTATCTACCCATAATTTTCCTCGAGAAATTTCAATCTTCAATTTGTGGATAAAATCATTATGCTAAACATTTTATGAATTTGGTACAGTATTCCATGTGTACGTATAGTTTAGGATGAATGCCAATTCTCACTTTTGAGTATGGTAAAAAAAATAGTTTTTTTTTGTATGCAAAATTGTACTATGAATGAAGTGATTTTGTCTAAAATGTTAGGCCACCCAGCCTGTATATCAGATCAGTAACTAAGCTTGGGCAAAAGCAAGTTTTAAGACATCAACCTCAAAGAAAGTTAAGAAGTATAAAATCTTATGAAATGTGGAAGGTACCTTGCAAAAATGGGTTTCAAATTGATATGAATATTTTTATATTTGCCATGTATTATCCAAATAATTAATCTCAACAGTACAGTAATACTAAAATTGATTTAGTTTAGGGTATTTTACAGTTTCTGTTAGGACAATTTCCATAATGGAAAAAGATGATATCATATTACAGTTATTCAGTTTACTGAACAAAATCCAGCATAGTTGATGATTTGGAAAATATGGCATAGTTGTCAAGGCAGAAGCAAGATAAATCCGTAAAGAATTTGAAATCTTTTAAAATTTAGAAGCATTTTATTTTGTATTTATTTCTTCATTATTGTTTATAATTATCTAGTCTCTTCTGTTTTAATGCCTTTTATAAGACAAATCTCAAACCCATCCACTGCAGCTGGGATGTATATTTCCCAGTGTTCCCACCCCTTCACACTGCAACTGGAATGAATGTTTCTCATTACTGACACTGTTTATGCCTTCCTCTTCTGCATCCAGGTTCATCATCTTGATTATCATCACTAGATGGAGAGCTGTCATCCTCTTATCTCATTGCCTCTTCATCATCATGCGTTTTGAACACCACTGAACTCACTTTCACTATCTTTTAAGCTATTTGAGTCAAGTGCATCAAATATATTTATATAGTAATTAAGGTTACTACTTGCCACTCTAGCAGTGTAGTCATAGTTGGCATACATTTGTCATATATTTCACTTGTATATCTTGTTGGTTACTGAAAGGCTGAGTGGAGAACATTGAGAGAAACCATATGTCAACATTAGGTGGGATGCCAATAAATACTTTCCACCTCATTTTACTCCCATATGTCATGGGTGGAAATTTTGAATGACAGTGAGAAACATTTGTCCTAATTGCAAAGTGAGAGGGTGGGAGCACTGGGAAATACATGTCCCAGCCACAATGAAAAGAGTTAAATTAATTGCTTTCTCTATGGCTTTCCCTATTTTAACTTTTAAGTTTATTCCTAATATTTTTGTAATGCAGAGGTAGCTGGAAGTCTTCATGCCATCTTTGGATGGTTATTAAATTAAGTATTAGGAGAATTTTTCATAATTTAAAATCATCTAAATCCTTTTAGTTCAGTTGAGTTTTTGAGTTCTTTGTTTTGTGAATAATCAGAATGATTTTCAGTGTAACAGAACATATGATGGTAGACCTAAAACAATTCACTTAAGTTGTAGAATTCTCACCCATGCTACTACTTTCTCTGCAGGAATTTAATTCTTAGGTTTATCTGTTAAGGTTCTAAATTACGTCTTGTAATTTCAAATCATTAAATAGTGTTCATAATTAAAGTTTTTTTTGAAGGTCTAATATAGTATATCAGTTACTGTTTGAAAGTTTACATTATATTTAAGAGGCAACGTACAAAATTTTTCATTGCTGTAGACTAAGTGCTATTTATGGAGGCACCTATATGTTGGACAAACCAATTGATGAGATTGTGATGGAGAATGGAAAGGTTGTTGGGGTTCGTTCTGGAGATGAAACTGCAAAGTGTAAGCAAGTTTACTGTGATCCTTCATATGTTCCTGACCGGGTAGAAAAAGTAGGCCAGGTAAGTCAAGTTATAAATTTTTCTTTGCCAAAATGCACATTTAATTTACTTACATTTTTTTTTATAATACAAATACTTAATTATAAAAATAACTAAAATATAATTTTAAGTACAAATTTTTTGATTCCTCGCTTTTTTATAAACTTTTGTCAAACACTTGCCAAATGTACTTCAGCATGAGGGATTGAATAGCTGTAAAGTTTTTTCATCTGTTAGTCTGTAGTAGAATAATCTTTGCTCTTATCTTCTGAGGAGGGATACTAGGATGATACTTGGGATGGAAAGGCTGTCACACGAGAATGGGTTAAGATCTCTGAAATTGTTTTCTCTTGAAAAAAAAAGAAGAATTAGAGGTGTTATGATTGAGGTGTATAAGATTTTAATGGGAAATGATAATGTTGATGCATTATTTTATTTATTTATTTTTTTATTTAATGGTGAGAGTGATAGGGAGCACAAGTATAACTTTGGGGAGTGTAGGAGTCATCTTCAGCTAAGACAACATAATTTTTCTAATAGGTTAGTTTGCCTTTAGGTGTGATGGATGTAGCTAATTTTAGAGAATTTAAAGGAAGGATTCCTAAATATTTGAATGATAAGGGCTGGTTTTGAAGAGTTCACATATAAGTTTAATTTAGTTGCTGGGCCAAAAAGTCCCTTGTTTTCCTTAAATTATATGTAGTGTAATATGTAATGTTGTATTAGGTTAATTTTTAAAATCTAGATTTTGTTGAGTAAAATATAACTTCAAAAGTTAAAAGTTCTGCAGTAATTTATTTATTTTTTCGATGATATACCAGTATTATATCTGACTGATTTTGTTAAAAGTGTTTGTTTGTTTTTATTGAAAAAGACCTTAGTATTAATTGACATAAAGTAATTTTTATCATTTTTACAATAACTAAGTTTTAACCCTATTAAAATAATCTAAATTCATTGTAAGTAGCCTTTTGCTGGGACAGTGGTAAGTCTACAGATTTTCAATGCTAAAATCAGGGGTCAGGGGTTCAGTTCCCCTCGTTGGACACAGTAGATAGCTTGATGTGGCTTTGGTATAAGAAAAACACACACCCATTGTAAGTAGGTTACGTAATTATCATGAAGTTTCCAAAAATTATACTAGTGGATGAAATTTGATTGAAATTTGACAAGAACTTTCCTAAAAGTATGTAGTTTCAGAAAAGTAAGATATTTGATTTTGAATTTTTCTACTATTTCTATTAAAAATTCATTATTTAATGTACTTATTTGCACTCTGACTCTGAAGAGTTCACCTTCAAGGTGACTTTAATGTTAAGTATAAAAATACCATTTCATATCTTACAATTTTTACATTTCATTTGCATAATCTCTAGAAACTCCTAAATGAATATCAAAAGTTTTTTTTACTCTGAATGTTTATATTTTATTTTCCATTTTCTCTACCATATCACTAACTCAAGCTATTATCATCAATATACAGTGTAATAAAATGTTTGAAATTAAGAAATGGAAATATATACATACCTTTCATCTCTTTGTTGAATAATCTTAAAATATCTTCTTGGGTCATATGCATAATTTCACATCTTTACCTTATGACTTATAATTAATTTTTAATGTTTTATTTTCCTTTCATGTTCTTTATTTTTGATTTATTTATGTCGACACACATCAACAGGTGCCAGAGCAAATCATTGGCAGAGATGCTGTAGCCTTTGGCAAAATATTTCTCACACATTCTGGTTAGGAATGACTTGTTGAGGGAGGTAAAGCTTAGAAGAATATTAAAAAATCATGAAACCTTTCAAATATGAATTTTAAAACACAATTAACTAAAATATAAAAGTAAGATATAAATACAATTTAACTGTCTCTCTAACTATAACATATTTAGGTTAGAAAAATAACATAAGTGATATCATAGATCAAGCAGCCAACAATACTACAGGTAGTTATATCTACCCAATGACAACAACTGCATGCCAATTTTAAAATAATAATTGGTGGATTATAGTGTAAAATGAGCTGTTTCTAATAGTTGTAAACACTAATGTCAAGTAAATACATGTGGCTTATAGATCTCAAGGCTAAGTATAAAAGGTGGGCGTGTCACCTGTCAAAGTTGGCAAAACTTATTACTTGTTTCTACTAAATTCAGCCAAAGAACTTTGAAACTTGTGTCAATATGGCAAGTAAATATACTTAATTGTCTAGACATACATCTAAAGGATTGGCATTGTATGATTCAAGATGGTGTCTGTGAAAGTGGGCCAGTGACAACAAAATTGAAGTTGAAGTACTTTTTTAAAGGTTTCTTGAAGCAAAATAATTAAAACTTTGATAACATAAAACTTCAAATTATATATTATAATGTTAATTTCATTGACATACATAGATAGTAAAGTTGTTTAAATTTGGAATGTACTTCAGTAACATGCAAAGAAAGGAAGTTAAAAAGTGCATTGTACTTGGAGGGTTTATTATTTTAACCTTCTTGCTATGAGCATCCTTTTCTGTACATTTCATGAGGTTTAATTGAGTTACATTCAAAATTTCATTAAAGTACTTTGTTATCATGATATATGAATAATCTTGATGTCAAAACACAGCTAATAATCGAAATTTCAATATTATACAAATTTTTAAGTTCCTAATTTTATAAAGCAATATTTAAAAAAATCCTAAATTTTCCCTAGTATAAGAATTGGGACATTTGCTCTATAGGCATTCTCTTTTCTCTTATTTATTTGTCGTCCGTTTGAGAAGTTCGAAATTTAATGTAAATTACACATAATAATGTTGTCATTGCTCAGGCAAAGCATAATTATTATAGCCTCAATCTTATTTGGTTGAATTGATAAACTATTCTAGTTAGTCTCACAATCTGTTGTCTGATGAAGAAATTGAAATTTAGTGCAACATATTGTTTTGTTACTCTTTAATACATTATATTTTGTGCTTGTTATAGTTTTCATGCTATAACTTTTAAATTGGTAAGCAAATATTAACGAAATTTGATAGTTTATCAGTAAACATTAGAATGCTTTCATGTGCAAAATATATAATTTTTTTATGAAGTCTTAAGGTTTGTAAAGCAATGTTTCTCACATGCCTTTTTTTTCTTTTCACATCTTACCTGTCTATCATAGTAGTTCAGTTGTTGTAATTTGATGTCACATTACTCGAACCTTCTGTATTATTCTTGTTGCCTTAAGTCAGTATTGTTACATCATAGCATCTCATAGTTTGTAGAACATTCTAAGCCTCAGTTAGACAATGTATATATATAGGTGACCAAGTGAGTGCAAGTTAAGAAAAGGTTAAGTCAGAAAATGTTAAGTTAGTGGAAATGAAATTAGACTGAGTGATTGTTAGTTTAGCCATAATGGGCGAAATATTAAAGTGAGAATAATCTGTCTTGTCAAAGGGTGTTTTAAAGTAATTGAACCCACCTGTGTGGACTTTGACGAAAAGAAGACAATTATTTAAAGTTCTGGATGCAACTGTGATAACTCATGGGGTAACGTAAGTAAACTTATCACAGATTGTATAGTAAGAAGCAGAGTAGAGAAAAATATATTGTCTTGTTAGTTGGATTTTAAAGTAATTGAATCAGCCTGTGTGGACTTTTTGACAAGAAAAGAGAATTATTTAGTTTTAGATACAACTGGTATATCTTATAGTGTAAATAATTTTTGGACATACGTTTGACTTGTTTTGAATATATATATATATATATTATTTGTGTGCTGTCTGTTTATTGTTTGAATGTATCGCCAACAAGTCACAGACACCTACTGTAAAGAATCTGGCCCCTATAAAACCTGAATAACATGTTTGAAAAGGAAATAAAAAATAAAATTCAAATTCAAATTGACCAACCTCGTATAGAGTTAGCATAGAAAAAATAACAAATAAAATATAAAATTTTACTGAAAAAGAAAAGTTTGACATTTAATAAAGAGGTTTTAGAGATTACACAAATGAAGTTTGAGATTTTTTAGATTAAGAAAGTATTTTTAACCATAACATAAAAATCACTCAGAGCAGTCAACACTTTGACTCCATGTATTCATCCAGAAATTTTTAGTGTAAATACTTCATTAAAAATTCTGATTTTTTGTCTACAAAAGACTTAATGATTACTGAAAGCTTGCAAAATTTTGTGAAGATGCACAAAACGTGCTAGAAGTTATAGCATGGAAACTATAAAGGTCAGTTTGGGTCATGAACACAGCTGATTTGGAAATGTGACTATCCAAGCTGGTAAGCATGCTCTACATTAATTATTCATTTTCTTGATGAGGCAGTTGATGAAGTCCTGTAGAATTAAGGACTAGTCTTCACATGGAGCTACTACAAGAAAGCATATTTTTAGTAAAGTATTTTTAATAAACTGAAATATACATTTGTCCATGAATATATTGAGTATTTGTTTTGAATAGTCTGTGTGCAAAGTAATTTTCATGTTAAAATTAAAAATACTTACACACAACATACTACTCTTAACGAGTTACGTAATGAAATGAAAAATAAATAATCATTAAATATTAAAAACTAAATAGTAACTCTTAAACTAAACAGTCTTATATATCAAACAATGCCTAACTAATATTCCTACCACATAAGTTGTAAATCACTTGTTACCCTATTGAATTACATAACGCACAGGCTACTTGCGAGTTGCTCGTGAGCATACCTCATGAAAACTTTCTACTGTTATTATTCTTTATTTTACCTTATATAACCAAAACATTTCTATTTTTTACATTTTAGTTACTTTTATAATAATAAATAAAGAATAAATTTGAAAACAAGAAATATAGTACTCATCTGGGACATCTTTTTTTTT